CTCACTCTGTCGTTGTTGATTTGTGTTCGAAGTTTAAATGTAGAAAAAGTTAAGAAGATGAATAGTGAAATAAAGAGAATCTAAACATGGACATTTTGTAATTTTACCCCCTCACTATAACATTAGTTTAATGTAGATGGACTTAAATGTATATTTCTAGAAGTTCAAGTATCAAAGCCGCATATGTGAAAGCTCAGGCCTTGAAGTGAGACTACCTCCAAAGTAAAAGATGCCTATATGCAATTTACCCTTTCATATTTTATGTATCAAATGTGTCAAACACCAATATATATTGTACCATATGATAAGATACATTGCAATAAATTAAAGCTTATTCTGACACATTTATTATTTTTTATTTCTTTTTTATGCATTTTTACTTTTGATAGAAATTCAACCTAAAGTAAATTAGCTTAATAACTTATTTACCTTCTCATTTAGGTGTTAATTAGGTTTTGTGATTATTTCGTGCATGACCATGGGAAAATTATGCTTTCATTTTGGTGTGGATCGTCCTTATCCACAAAACATTGTAGATAGGGATGACTGGTCCATACAACAAAATATTGGTTGCAACAAAATATCGTGGTTGGGGTTGGTTTATGGTGAGGACAACCCGTTGATACAATTCAGTATCACCAATATTAGACTGCCTTAACCACCTTCTTTTTATCATTTGAAGCCATAAAACCCCTCTATTATAGTTTCTTCTCATTGCTGCACAAGTCCACCACTGTGCAAAGCTCTATCGCTATAACATATTCTGCTAATGAAAACGGTTGCAACAAATATCATTCTCTTCATCTATTTCTTTTCTCTTCTTGTCATTTGTTTTATCTTCATTTCTCCATTATTCTCAACCAACAAAGGTGTTTTTTTGTTTATAGTATTTTCTCCCTCTTCCATCATTCGTTGTCGATCCAACAACAGTTTCTCACTCTTTTCTTCAAAAGGTATGTTTAACCTTATTATATTTGTTTCTTTTTTGTGTATGGTTTTCATTGGTTTCTTATATGAAAAAAAAATGTGCTTAAGTTTTATCCATGATTATTTTGTATTTTATTTCAAATTATTTTAGGCTTAAAATATAAGAATTTTTCATTCATGATTAATAGTGTAGATTATGTCACAAGTTGTATGTGAGATGTGTTAGATAGTGTTTGCCCTTAGCTCCAATCAACATGATGTACATTATGACATTTATTGTAAATGAATAAAGTACATACTTGATTCATGTTATTGTGGTGTGTTTCTTGTAATACCCTTAAACTGGACACATATGAGACTCGTGTTACTTTAGAACCTTCACAGCTGTTGAATAAATCTTGGGAGATTTATCCTACCAAGGCTGACACTAGTGTATTACCAAGTTGGTTGGGGTGGCTTGTCTCAGATACCAGGGTGAGACCTGAACTACATGCAGTGTGAGTTTTCTTGAAACCCTGAACTAGACCAAAACTCCAGTATTGCCCTAGACCTTGGAGATAGATGAGCAAAACTGGAATGTTACACCTGACCCCTAGACTCGATTATAATACTGCACTAGGTGTCAGATTGGGCTGTCTTTGATGTGCCAATCAGTGAGATTCTTAGAGGGGGTCAAAACCTAGGTATGTTGGGGCAGTTCGAGAATTCATCTTAGTGGGTGATCATAGTGATAGGATCAGCCCCTTTGTCGGACAGAGTAAATGATCGGGGATGCACTCTTTCTGATGGAAACCTAAACTGCCGGTAGTTGATTTTAACCGTTGAAATTTGTTTTTGTAAAATATATTTATATAGAGATATACATATATATTATGGTTTCAAAATGTTTGCAAAAGGTTTTAATTCCCGGGATCCATCTAAGTGGAGAGTGTAGCATTGTATCTTGCAGCCGAGGGAGAGGTCCTCTCTTGTTAGGCAATGTTTGATCATTAAGGGCTGAGAGGTTAAGTGTAAGACCATTGAGGGTTATACCTGATTGACTAATCTTGCATCTGCCATAGTCCTTGGGCCTTCATAAGATGACTGGACCCAATGACCATTTAGTGTAAATGTTGGGCCCATTAAGAGCCCATGGTGATGGACTCAGGGGTTCACTGTGTTCAGTAGTGAATTCAACCAGGCCTTGTAACAGAGGCTAGGCTGAACCCATGTGGCTGATGTGTAGATCAATGTTAGAGTCCCACGCCATACAAAGAGAGCCAAGCTAGCCAGCATTAAAAGGAAGTGAGCCTTAAAGCTTAATGGGCCTAAAAGCCCATTTCGAATTAGATTAATTAAATAGAGGTAGATCTGGGTTTGGATCAGCAGATAAGGATAAGAGAATAACTCTTATCCACTTAAAGAGTCCAGATCCAAATAATGATTTGGATCAGGAAACTCCTAATCAGATTAGGGGGTTATTGTCTCTTTAAGGTTATAAATAGAGAGTAGGGCGGACTTGAAAAAGACACCAGACACAACACAGAGAGAAGACAACTCAGTTAGACTGATCTTGCCTTAAGTTCTTTTTCTTCCTGCTCTTGCCGCCCTACCCTGTTCGGTCTCCAGTTCTTGGATCTGATTAAGATTTGATCTTGATATTGTTTTTGCTGGAAAAAACAATTTTGAAGTTGTGCTCATTACCCCATTCGATTCTTGCTGAAGAATCACAAGTTTTTGGTGAAAAACTACCTATTGATCCTGCCTCATCCTAAGTTGTGTTATCTTCAGTGGAGGGAAGATTTGGTACACTCTTTGGGCGTGAACACCTATGTTGGGAGGAGCTTTTTGCGTGGATTCCGTGTCAGGTGTATCCCTCCCTCATCTTGGTTTCAGATTTGGTCCAGTTTGGTTATAAGAACAAACCTTGAAGATGCAGTTTTCTAAATTGGGAATAGGATTCCTGGGTGGGAGTAAAAAAATTTTTGAAATTTCGCCCAACCTTCTTGTAGGGTTCGGCCATCTATATGATGGATCTCCCATCCCTTCAGATGTATGAAATTAATAAGTGTGGTGTAGATAATCCACACGAGACCTGTAGAATGCCTCTATGGGTGTGGACAATTTCAATGTATACATTTTTTTCCATAGTTCAAAATAACAACAAATAATGGTGTGATGTGGATTGGTTATTGCCACAAAGTATAGTGTGGAATAGTCCACACCCACTAATTTCTCATCCATGTTATAAAACAAGCCCTTATAATTAGGTGGTGTTTGGTATCATTGTCATTTTTCACACAATTACACTTTGTAATTTGATAAAGTAACTCCAAATTCTATGCACATATTATACTATTTTTTGTTTTAATCAAACACCATTTTTATATTTATATACCATATAAGGGAATTAGATTTACTCTTTAAAGAGTGCACCTAACACCAACCTCACAAATCACAACACATTCCATCGTGTACTTTTCTTTTTTTTAGACATCCCATCATGTATTGAAAACATCTACCCAAGAATAACAAGTGCAAGAGATGTTCCATATGTGCAACTGGACATTCTATGAAAAATGCTTTATGAGAAACATATTCAAACTATATAAAGTGGATACTTGCCTGAGTTTATGTGCAAATTTAAATTCAAATACTATATAGTTATACTTGCTTATACATGTGCTATTATACTAGTAGGCAAAAGTATGAATACATTGTTTCCAATGCCGAAAAAGTCAAAATAATATTTTCTCTAAAATTTGCCTTAAGCATTTAATAATTAATATTGAATAAAACCATTTGAAAATGCTCAACGCCTCAATCAAACTTGGCAAAAACACTTAAAAGAAACTTTGGTAACAAACACCACCTTAATCCATCTTTGGAGATTTTTCCATGTGAGTCAGGATCACCTACCCACAAGACATGTTCCAATCCTCTACCAACATCATCTCACACCGCATCGGCTCATGCATAGTGGGTCTCACTTTAATGGTGGGTCCCAATCTTATGATGAGATGTGTGGTGTTAGATTAAGTTGGTGAAGGGTTGAAACGTATATTATTGGTAGAAGATCTCAACTCCATCCATGTTTCTTAAATTGAACGGTCTTGATTCTTCATCACTTTGAAGCTAACCCAGCCTTCCAACCCCACACCGACAAATGCGTCATCTCATACACATGTGGCATTGCTAACGTGTCACTTTTGCCTCCAAATTTGAATCGTCAACAGTATTACATTTCTACTTAAAACACACATGGAGCCATCTGTCATGCTGACCGGCGTTTCACTATTGGCATATAGTTAGAGGATTCGAACACGTGGCATCAGAAATAGCTGGATATTCGGACACGTAGCATCAGAAGTGGCAAAAGCCTTGTTAACGCAGAATTACGGTTTTACCGATTCCTTGTCCTCTCCCATACTCTTTGTCCGAATCAAGGACAATTGTGTCCACACAACAATCACCGTGGATTTCGGACGTAATTAAGGTTTTACCCGTCAGGTGACGTCTTTATTCCTACACAAATGTAATAAATTAATCATCATTAAGCCCAATAAATAGCTTCATTAAACAAATAAGTATCACCATCACTTAAACTGACGTCACGCAGTGTTATGGGACATATTAGTGAAATTCGTATATTATTCAGGGGGAATAACGTCATTAGACTATATGAGCATTCATGACGAGGGCGTGCCCTAGTCATAAGACTCGTAACTTTCCCTCAAACTCTCACATGAGCACTGTAAGAAGAGACTTTCAATGTTTCAAAGAGCACGGTAAAAAGAGCCTGAGAGGGATACCCATCCGTTCGATCGGAACAACAAGCTTCCGTCAACATTTGGGAAATAGCGAGATCCATGATATATGGTTCTAAGGAACGCCGCGTGGCAACGTCAAGGTCAAGCAGAGCCGTTTAAAGATCCAACGGGTTGCCTGGCTTCTGGTTGGAGCTAAAATGCGCCTGGTATCTCTGGAAATGATCATATATTGGATTTAATTAATTAATTAATAATTATGTAAATAAATAATTAATTAGTTACATAAATATAAGTATTAAGCTTTTTGATCTTTTGTTCATGAAGTGAATTTAATCAGGTTTGAGGTCCGGGTCTCAGAGAGAATGAGCGAGAAGGAGGAAAAGGAGATGAGAAACCGAGTACCAAAGCCAAGGATCTGATCTCTGTGTATGAGAGAAGGAGCTCTTCCAGAAGCTAAGCTGCTTCTGGTTCTCTTTTATATGATCTAGGCTCTGATGCGAAGATATCTGTTTTTACGGGCGTCTTCTACGGAGCTTTTGGTTGTTTTTTAGTTGATTTTAGGTATTGTCTCTGATTTCAGCTGGTTTTTGAGTTTATTTGTCCTTTTCTTTTTTCTCGGTGACTCAATGGGGAATTGTTTTGGTAAATCTGTCCCGTTTTTGGGAATTTTTTCTTCCTCAAGGAAGGAGGTGGTGCAAAGCTCGGATTTGCATCGTGGAGATTGTCATGTGTTTTTGAGCTGAGGTTTTTATGTTTTCTTGCTGTTGCTTCGATGGTTAAAAAGATCTCCTTTGGTTTTCTCTTTTTCTGAGTTCAGATTATTCATGGCTACTTTTACAAATGCGGAGAAAAAAGCCGCGGCTTTGGTTGGATTCTTCTAAGTTTTGTTGTTTCTTCCCTCAGTTCCCTGTAATGGAGAAAGTTTCCTATTTTGTTGTTTTTGCTTCTATTTTCTTCCATTTCTGGATGTTTATGGAGGAAAGATTTTTGTTACCGTTTTTTCTTCTCTTCACGGATGAAACCTGATAATGTTTTGATCTTTTTTCCCCCACTCATTTCTGACCGTCTCTGACAATCCGATTGGGTTTCTTGCAGAGCTTCGGAGGGGGCTCTCAAGCTTTTCAGATATCTCTTAGAGGTCTCCGGAGGCGTCTGCGTGCGTGTGTGGAGCTCAAATCGCTTTGAGCTTGGGATCAGTTGTGGCTAGCGTGTTTCTTGTTCTTAGCGCACTGTTAGCCTTGTGACTCGCAGCGGTCTGAGAGCAGGTTAGTCTTCTTGCCTGGTTTTGCAGGAGACCACTCCAACCTTCTGTTTGCTAAAGTGCGCCGGTGGCTACAGATGACGGGAATCCGTTAACCAGTCAATCTAAGCTTACATTGGGGCGAAAAAAGAGAAACCTTTGGGGTAAAATAGTGAACCTAAATTAGTCAAGGGCCGATCTGACCTTGTGAACCATGTTTTTGTTCCAGTTTAGAATCCATGATTGTCTTATTTTCTTTACATTTCTTATCTTCTGTCGATGCTTTGTCTGGGTTTCCCTTCCATTTGAGATCTGGGTGTGAAAATGTTACAGCAAAATCTCATTTTTTCTGATTTTATTCATACATTTGTTTTTTTTTGTCTTGTTCCGAGTCTCTTCGACTCCTTTTGCAATGTGATTTTTCTTTTGCTTTGTCCAAGTGAAACTTGACACATTTTTTTTCATGTTTGGAATTCTTTTTCTACGCTTGGGTTTACTGTAATGTGTTAGGAGCTGTTTGTTCACTTGAATGTCTATTTGGGTTTTCATTTAATTGACTTGGGCAGTTGGGCATACTGGGCTTGTTTCTGTGGTAAAATGGCAATTTGGGTTGTCAAGGAAGATGAAAACTTAAAAAGGTTGTGTCTAGCAAAATCTTGTTATTTTGAGCTACTTTGATGCTCATGTGAGGCTTTCATTTTTTTGGGGTATCACTTTTTCTTCTTTTGCTTTTTTTGTTGTCTTTTTTTGATTATTTATGTTCCCATTTGCATAATCCTTTTTTTCTTGGTTCTTATGCTTTGTGCAAGGAATTCTGAATCACTTCTGCTTTGTCTGCAGTTAATGTTTCTGTATTCAAAGATTTGTGATCATCATTCAGCATAATTGAAGATTGTTTATGAGGATTTCTCTGAGGGGTTATAATCATCCCGGTGGTGTGACCCGTTTGTCATTTTAGTGGGTTAGATGTCGTTCCGGAGCATCGTTCGTGATGTGAGGGATAGTATTGGGAGTTTATCCAGGAGGAGTTTCGATGTTAGGTTTACAGGCCATCATAGAGGCAAATCTCAAAGTTCAGTCCATGAGTTGCATGATGAACCTGTTATTCAGCACAGCTGCTGGGCTAGTCTCCCCCCTGAATTACTACGTGATGTGATTAAGAGGTTGGAAGCAAGCGAGACCACTTGGCCTTCTCGCAAGCATGTAGTTGCATGTGCAGCTGTTTGCAAATCATGGAGAGAAATGTGCAAGGAAATTGTCAAAAGTCCAGAGTTCAGTGGGAAGCTTACTTTTCCAGTTTCTCTAAAACAGGTGTGTTGTTTTTCCTTTTTCTCTGCCTTTTGTTGTGCAAGATTCAGATGAATGTTTAATTATTTATCATGAAAGTTCAGCTTTCATAACACAATTTGTTTGGATGCTATGTAAGGCTCTTTTTTTTTTTGATATTTTAGCCTGGGCCTCGCGATGGAACTATTCAATGCTTCATCAAGCGGGACAAATCGAATTTAACCTACCACCTTTTCCTGTGCCTTAGCCCTGGTAAGCTTTTGAAAGAAGTTTACTACTTGCTGCAATTCATGAAATCACTGCAGGCTTTTCTGTGACTTTTCTCTTGTGGTTATTTAGAGTTCTCTTTCTAAATTTGAAAGTATCTAGATGTTATAAATCATTACATGTTGGTTTATTTGGTGTAATAACTCGTGGTGTTTCGCTCTTTTTTTTTGACACGCATTTTTTTGAAAGAGAAAAAAACACCATTAATTTTTTGTTTTCCAAAATGTTTTAGTTTTAATTGTAAGCTTGGTTAAAACATTCCTGAGTTAATGCATATTTATCGAATGTTTTGTGGGTTAGATGCCTCTTGCTTTTTTCCGTATGGTGCTTTATTTCTATGAGTTCTACTGAATAGATGCATGCCTAACATTACAAGTTTTAGGTTGCTGTCTGTCTTAATTTCAGACTCATAACTGATATATGTTCAACATGAAGACTGCTGGTTGAGTTGCCATTTTTTGTCTTTTTGTATTTGTCCATTTAAAGGCCAACTTTCTTATGTGAAAGTGATATTGATAAGCTTTCTTATAATACAACCCCCTTTAAGCATGACAAAGAAAGTTTTCCATTAGTAATAAATAAGCTTAAGGCAACTGAAGACCCCTCCAAGAAGGAGCTTACCCGCCTAGCAACTTTCAGGTGATTATTGCTTGTGGCTTCATCCAGGGTATTCTTTCCTCCTTTTATCAATACAAGGAGGGGGAAAGTGGACTGGAGATATGCTATTCCCTATTTTTGTATTACATTAAAAAATGTGTCCGTATTGGTTAGTGTGTTGTTTGTGTAAAACTTTTTCTTACTTATTTTTATAACTTCTGTTGTCAAGGTATAAGTGGTTAAATTATACTATCAGGTTTTGATATGCATTAACCTAATGTGATATATGAAGATGTATGCATGTGGTAGTTGTGATTAGTATAGATACATGGAAGGAAATAACATAGGAAGAAATTTGCTGATCCATTTCAGGGAAAAGGAGAGAAAATGACACTAGAAAAGGAATTAATGGAAAGAGGAAGTAGGGCAAAATAGAAACATTCATATTGTCATACATGCATATTTTCTTGCATTATTATCTTTGTATGAGTACAGCCAAAAAAGGTATGTGGATTTACTTTTGATGCCATCTAGTTGTGGAAATGAAATTGTTCCACCAAGTCAGAAAAATTTGGATGAACAAAAGAATCACTCTGTATTTCAATTAGTTAGTTATGTGTGAGGCAGTCCTTGTTGTAACACTAGATGATTCTGGACAAATACTGTGGATCTAAATCTTTCATACTCCCAAGTCTGGAACTTGATATTCCTCGAAGCTGCATTGACAATGCAGTACTTTGCCCTGGAACTTTGATGGATGATGGCTCCACCTAGGCTTATAAATATCTTAATATCCTTTCAGTTCAGAACGTTTTTGCTGGTTGCACATGTGACTTAATGAATGTGGGGAGTTGTTGAGGATATACCAAAATGGGCTGTTATTTGAGATGTCTCTGCCTTCCTTTTCTTCTTTTGTCAGTGTTAGTTTATACGAATTTTCTGTGATTTTTTCCTTTCATTTTTCAGCTTTGCTTGTTGAAAATGGGAAGTTCCTTCTCTCTGCAAAAAGGAACCGGCGGACTACTTGCACAGAATATGTAATATCCATGGATGCTGATAACATATCAAGATCAAGCAATACCTATATTGGAAAACTGAGGTAATGGGATAAACTCTGTTACTCAAAATTTGAGGTGCTATTAAGAAGCATCCACGTTTCTTATGCTGTTAAAATTTGAATCTGACTTCAACCTCAGGAAAAAGCTTATTAAATGAATAGAAAGAAATTCCATAGCTAATACACAGTGATCTTGCTAACCAAAAAATTAAAATAATAATCAAGAGTACAGAAGATAAAATGATTCTTGGCACATGGATTGGTTCTGATACGAGATGGGAGAAAAGGGAACCAAAACATGTTTTTATCCTGGGTTGCCTGAAGAACGTGGGCAGGGTTGTCCACCTTTCTGGTTCAAGAAATCTTCTCTTTTCCTTTCATTAATATGAGGTTATGGCGTGGTACATGTAAAGATAAATCACCTAAAATATTGTTCACTTGTTTCAGGTCAAATTTCCTTGGTACAAAATTTATTATCTATGACAACCAACCTCCCTATAACTGTGCCCATGTCTCCCCACCGGGCCGGACAAGCCGCAGATTCTACTCAAAGAAAGTGTCCCCCAAAGTTCCTTCCGGCAGTTATAACATAGCCCAGATTACATATGAATTGAATGTGCTGGGCACACGCGGTCCTCGTCGGATGCATTGCACCATGCATTCCATCCCTGCCTCAGCCCTTGATGCTGGTGGGACTGTTCCTGGTCAGCCTGAGCTACTCCCTCGGTCCCTTGAGGATTCATTCGGCAGCATTTCCTTTTCAAAGTCCATTGATCATTCAGTCGAGTTCAGCAGCTCTCGGTTCTCAGATATTGCTGGCCCCCGTGATGACGATGAGGAAGGCAAGGAGAGACCCCTGATTCTCCGAAACAAGGCCCCAAGGTGGCATGAGCAGTTGCAGTGTTGGTGCTTGAACTTCCGTGGGCGAGTAACTGTTGCCTCCGTAAAGAACTTCCAGTTGATCGCAGCTACACAACCAGCTGCTGGCGCACCAACGCCATCCCAACCAGCCCCACCGGAGCATGACAAGATCATTCTGCAATTTGGCAAAGTTGGGAAGGATATGTTCACCATGGACTATCGCTATCCATTGTCTGCATTTCAGGCTTTCGCTATCTGCTTGAGCAGCTTTGACACCAAGTTGGCTTGTGAATAGACGTTAAGAATGGTAAAGAGCAGGGAGGGGAAGAAAGGTAGTTGATGGTTGTTCTTGATAGGAAATGATCGTCAATGTATTCAGTTGCTGTAAACTCACTGTTCCTGTAGTTTGCAGCTGAGTCAACTACGCGGATTGGAGGGAAATCTACACTTCGTTCTCTGTGCTTTTTCCCTTCTCTCCTTTCCTTTCTCTATTGTTTCCATTGTTCACAAAATGTCAACTGCATGTGATACCTTAAATTTATTCATCATCTTTATTAGTTATACAAGTTCTGAGATACTGGGAACTCTGAAACGTGAACTTGTGGGAACTGTTTCAATTGTTTCTTTGCCCGAAGCTGAAGGGATCCAATTTTCCAAGGTTTATTCATATGGCAAGTTGGCAGCATCTGTTTCCACGTAAAATGGGTGGAAAATTTTTAGTTTTTACACTGAAAAACTTTGCTTTCCTTGCCATTGCAGAGTGGAAAACAAAGTTCTTAGCTTTTACTGTGACAGTGTTACAAATAATAGTTGAAATATTTCACTCAAAAATAAAAAAATAAAAAAAGAAGAAATCTACGCATCTATAATGACACATTGATCGAGTACTGTGATGGCACAAAATCCGGGCACACCAACTTCCAAAAATAAGAAAACAGGTAGTCTTGACTCCTGAGAATCTTTAGGATGATATTAGGAATGCATGTCTGAAAATAAAGTCTCGTGGAAAGATTCTTGGTTCTTTGGAGTTTTCTTATTTTTTGGTTTTTGGGTAAGAATGAATTTCTTTATAAAGAAAACCTGAGCAAGTCAATAAACACACAAGTGACAACATAAAAAAGAAAACAGTTGTAGATTACTTGAAGTTTTGAACTGAGAAAAAAGAAAGAAAAAAAATAAGTTAAAAATATTAGGGTTCGTCATATAAAGTATCAGAATTATTATTTCCTGGGTTTTTTTTGACCTTATAGTAATCTAGATTCAGCTTACAAAACTAGCAGAGTAATCTGACATGCCTTGTCCTATCATCTATCCAAAAGGGTCAATTTGAATTCGGATGGAATTGGGCTATCTATACTGAATAAACAGTGTAAATTCTACACTACTCGTTGTCTAACAGAAAGCCATTTGACTTTTACTCAAGAGAATCGTCCATTTGCACTGCACTGAATGTGCGTACAATCATTTGGTATCTTCTCCACTTCTTGGAAGGTTGCTACACCGAACAGCTATGAAGCTGCATAAATGATTTTCATGGAAAAAGACAACAAAAAAGCCAGTCAGACCAGAGCAGACAGCTCCGTTCAACTGATCAGATCACTTTCAACCAGAAAAAAAAAAAAAGAAGTTTCAGTTTCAAATATTTCACTTATCATTTTTATGATTCGTCCTTTATATAATCAAAACTTTGTTTTCTCTTCTCCCTCATATAATTTGACTTGATGTAAATGGTGAAAAAACATAAAATTTCCATTGTAAACCTGACAAAAATATCCATCCTTTTTATCCGGAAGCAAACAAAGCCCTAATGAAATTAGAAACAAATTTGTTGGGCCACCCTCCTGATTTATTAATTTTCAGATTGATTCAAGGGGAACATGTTAGATCAAAATTATCTCATTAGATCATGTAACGTGCCATATACCCAAGGATTAAAGTATTAATATAATACACCCATATCGTATTGGTGTCAGTATTGTCGATGTACCTAAATATACTTGAATGCATCAATGCAAAGATTTTTTTTTTTTAATTTTATGATTTAAACTCGCAAATCTCCTCTCTAACCCTTTGATTATTATAAAATAAAAAATGAAAAAAATGAAAAAAAAAAGAATATTAATACACATCAATACCTATATTTGAGTATTGGGGGCATTGACATTTTAATCCTTGCATACATGAAATCTCAAGCTGTATCATTTTCATCTACCAATTACATTTACATTTGCTGCGGCCAAAGTCACAACCCTTTCTTGGGATCTCCCAATATAACAGACATGACACTCTTTTGATTTAAATTCAAAACGACCAAACTAAGCCGATCATTTTTTTTTGCTTTAATTGTTGGTGCGTGTATCATTGGTCGCAGCAACTAGATCCAATTTACCCACTCCATTTCAAAATCAAGTCTCTCTTCATATATGGGAATTAATAAGAATCCCATCTTCTAGGAAGAGCAAGTTATTTATCCAGGTAAATGCATTTATCCAACCGAGTAAGGGTTTTCTAGGAAAGATTTACCCAGATAAATACATTTACCTATATTCTTTTATTTCCCATGTAAATAAGGCAATGATTATTTTGCCCATAAAATTCCAATATTGAAAGGAGTATTTTTGTCTCATTCAAGTATTGGCAACTTTCCTCCTAGATGGGAAAGTTATTTACCTACCTAGAAGATGGGTAAGTGATACCCAAGAAAATATACTTTCATTCGTCCCCACATAAATCTGAAAAAAGAACATGGGTTTCTTGATTAACGGGAATCAAAATCCCATTGACCAAACATTAAAATCCAAAAAAAAAATGCCCCCAAAGTATTTATAAACCCTGATACATGGTGGGACGGGTGTATCCATACTTTGAAGTTTCCACCCTATGTTTTTTTTTCTTTGAAATTTAAAGGAAGTTGGAAATAATATATATTAATATTTGGAACAAACATTAACAAATCTTAATAGCAATGTAATCTGTGCCCTGTCAATATATATCAAATGATAGGGGTGATACATTGTGAAATTTTGACCATTGCATTTAGTGACATGGGATTGGAGGGTCTCCTTGACATTTCGTTGTATTGCGCTTGATCCTCTATTAATTTAGGTTGTGACATCGGCCCAAAGTCAGACCCATGATCACCCCTTACCAGTAGACCTGTTCATGGGCTGGGTAGCCTGATGGGCCGGCCCGGCCTGACCCTTGGATAGGCTTGAACATGGATTTTAGCTTGTGGGCTTGACCTCAGGCATAAAAGCCCAACCCGACTATTTTTAGGGTCAGGCTCAGGATTTGTCACAAAAGCCCAGCTCAGACCGACATTTTATAATTTCTTCTAAATCCTAAATTCTTAGCCTACGACTAACCCTTTCCAATTTCCCTCTTTTCATCTTCAATCTTCTCTCCTCACTCTCACTCTCAAGAATCGGCAACAGACTCAAGCAGGCAGGCACCTTTCTCAATCTCATAGGCGAGCTCAGGCACCGGCCGTCTTTCTCTCCGGCGGTGAGTCCTCTCTTTCTCTCTCTCTCTCTCTACCTCTCGCCACTAGTCCTCTCTCTCTTTCTTGTCTCTCTCTTAGTTCTAATTCTCACTCTCACACTCTCAGGAATCGGCGAACTCAAGCACCGGTGAACTTAGGCATCGGCGCCAATTGCGCCACCAGTGAACTAAGTCGTCCCTCTCTCCGACAATGAGTCTTGCATTTCTCAACTTTGTACAAGTCATGCATTTTAGCCTCTATACAAGTCATGTGTTTCTCAACTTTGTTAGGTCGAATACATAAGTTTTGGGCTTATGAGTGAAATCACAACTACATTGAGATGCTGGTAGATTACTTTACACAAGTTCTACCAGTTCTTTATTGAAAGTTTCCCTCAACTGCCTTATACAAGTTCTTTATTGAAAAAAAAAAAAAAAAAAAAACTCAAATTGACTCGACAACATGACTTTCACCTAAGACTACCAAAACTCCAGGTATACAACGCAAATGGCTTGACCTCAGCAATTAGGAGTAAAGTAGTAAAGATCATTACCAGGACTTATATATTACAGATCGCTATAGGAAGAGAAATAAAGATGACTAAATTTCGTACTTAACTGACAACTTAGTAATGTAAGATTTCTTGAATAAAATAAGAAAATCAAATGAATTTTTTTTTAATAAAAGACAAGGAAAGAAGAAAGTAGATTAATTTGTATTATCATTTAGCATCGAGTTTAATCCTTCATGGAATAAGAAGAAGAAGAAGAAAAGAATTATGGTTTCGAATTTCAGTTTTCAGATTTCACATATGCAGTTTAAGGTTTCCCAACCAGGGGTTGTTGATAGTGTAGGATTTCACATATGTAGATTTCACAAAGCCTCTCTATCTCTCTCTCACTCTCACAAAGTGCTGGTTTAGATAATTCAAGAATTGTAAATCCGATTAGGAATCAAAATTCTTCTGAGCATACCTATCTACAGTGCAAACTGACATATAAGGACAAATTCATATATTCCTAGAAGCATTCAAAGGGTACAATTTACAAAGCTGCATTGAGAATTGGTTCTTAGTGTTCCATGATTGAGCTAATACATAAAACTGGACATATTTTTTTCGCCTTTTCTTTTTTCCCATTTTTTCGCTTTTTCTCATAAATATGTTGCCCCCATCTTTTTCTCATAAAACCGGATATACTTTGTACTGTCTAATATAGATGTTATGATGTAAGAACATATTAAAATGAATAAAAAAGGTCATTTAACTCTATTTTTCTTTTAGTTTTTTATTTAATATATGCTTGTCTTATTGATAAAATCAGAATGTATTATGCAGGTTATTTCATATTAAAAATTGGCATGTTAATGGCAAGTAAAAGTGTAGCTGCAGGAATAGATATAGTAGATGATGACTATCAAGAGCATGATAAGACTTTTAGTAAGAAAAGATTGACATCTAAGGTGTGGGAAGAAATGGAAAAGATTAATTCGGAAAAGACACAGTGTAAGCATTGCAAGAAGATCTTACAAGGTAAATCAAATAAGGGAACTATTCACTTAAAGTGTCATTTACAGTGTTGCCCTAGACGTACAATTCAGGATATTAGATAGTACAAAGTAATTACTCAATCAAACACTGATGGGAGTACTTCTTTTAAAAACTACAAGCTTGATCAACAAGAGTCTCGTAGGGCATTATCAACTTTCCTGTATGTGGAAAACACCATTTTACTACTATTGAACAACATGGTTTTAGATTCTTTATTCAATTGATAAATCTTGAACTTAAAAATGTGAGATAAGCATAATGCTAAAAGATATATCATGTCTAACTATGTGAAAGAGAGAGGGTGTGAAAATTGATTTGTATAATACACTTGGTCGAATTTGTTTAACTTCTGATAATTGAAGATTTGAGCACACTGATGATGAATTCATGTGTATAACTGCTCATTGGATTGACAACAATGGGAAGTTACAAAAAATAATTATTCTCTTTAAATCTTTGACACCTCCTTTTGATGGACAATCTTTAGCAGATGAGGTGGCCATGTGTTTAAGTGAATGGAGTATTTATCAGAAAATTTTTAGCATCACATTACATAATGCTAGTTACAATGATGTGATGGTGTTAACTCTTCGAAATTGAGATCTTCAATACATAAATCTTTGGTGTATGGTGGTGA